CAACACCATCTGTATTTTGACAAGTTTATTTTTCTTGATGTACATTGAGTCCTAAAAATATCCATACCTCCCTTCCACAGGGGTTTGAAAATTGATCCCCACCTCTCCAGAATTTCCACTTATTTTCACAATGCATCATATTTGTTAAAAATCTATCATGTGAGATATGTTATTGCTCTGTAATGAATCATGTAAAAGAATGAATGGGAAGAAGGATCAAAATGGATCCCAACCCTTTAGAGGTTCCAGTTAGCTGTGGAGAGGGGATAGATAATTTCAGGAATGACAGTATGTTATTGTAAACAAATCACTTTCTAAAATGGACCTTTTTTCAGAGCAGTCTGCTTTAGATCAGCCAATCAAATTTTTCCCAGCGATTGGCTGAGTTAGAGCAGACTGCTCTGAAGAATGTTCCATTTAAGAATGGCATTTTCCATTTTATAATGGCACTTTGTTTGTAGCATTTATTCAATGCAAGTTTATTTACAAAAATTTGTTAACACTTGAGTTAGGCCAAAACATAAAGACCTTTACATCATATGGAATATAAATCATATATGGAATTGGTATATGCCTTTACTTTTCACATAAATGTCTACTGTTAATAGCACTGATATGTTGCTGTTTTTTATATTGAAAATGGAAGATGTTTCCCTAGAACAATGAGAAAAAAAATGGAAAACTATTTTGGAAGCAGTAAATGGCTCCGTGTGCTTATCTATTTCTTAGATATGTTTCTAGTGAGGGGGGATCCAGGTTAAAAAAGGTGCTTGTGGGGGACCCATATAAGAATGTATGACAATTTGTCAGTAATACTCCAACAACATAGTATTTTGCAACTGGTTGCATTAAGACTTTTAAGTTTTTTTTGAAGTCCAGGTAAGCAGAATTCTGAATTATTTTTCCAAAACCCCATTCAACACTACACCTGACTTTGCTCATTTGGGAGTTAAACTCTTGCTGATCGGCAGTTAAGCGGGCTCCTCTAAAAGGTGCTAGGATATTTCTTGTAATACCATATGCAGGGTCACCATATATAATGTATGGTTCCCCACTGGGCTTTCGAAACCTCTGTAGAATATGATTTAGACCACTTTCTCCAAGCATAAATGCATCATGCCTGCGTCCCTCTATGGGTCCAAATAGGTGGGCAATTAGACAATTTGGAGCATGCACAGACTGCAGTTTAAGCAAATTTGGACAAATATTAATTTCTAAGATAACTAAACTAAAGCTTGCGTGTCCTACCTTATAAAAATATATATAGCTACTTTTCTTAAATCTTCATCTGGTATAAGTTTTAAGACTATGAAAACATTAATTAAACGTTGGTACAATTGTTTTTTTTGATATCTTTTAATTCCCAACTTAAATGGTGTGGCCCCTGTCACTATAAACCAGAAAGGGAGTTTTTTCGAGGGCAGAACTTGGGACTCTACTGTAGCTTTTTATTTTCAGTACCATATCTAAATTTATTCCCTCTGAATGTAGCTAGCATGCTGCAGATGGACACCTGAATCATCCTGAGTGCCAGTTGGTTCCTGTAACTCGGGTACTACAATTAAATGCATTGAAAGCAGAACAAGACTACTGTACCTGAAACTTCAGGCAATGGGTGCGCTTGTGGCCACTATACATGGTACCCTGGTTTCGGTTTGGGCGACAAATGGGCCTTACCGTACCATCGATAAAACCCCAACATTGCGTTAAGGGAGCCCCTTTGGCATGAATGGCCTCTGAAAAAATTTCCAGGTATAGCCACACAAGATCTAACGATCATACAAGTGGTCTACTATCTGAAAAACAAATCACATTTTTTGCAAAACGAAAATTTCCTGAAACAGCTTTTTAAATTCAATTACTTTGGTTGTGATAAGGCTTAATTCTGAAATGTTTCTCCCGAACACATCAGCTAAGTCGCACAAACGATTTGGGTGAACCAATCTTCTTAGAAAAATCATCAGTGCCTCCATGCCACTTGCGTGCGTTCGTTGTTGGCAGATGTAGAATCCTGGAATTTGCAAAGCATGTAACAGAAGCTCCATGTCATCTTTATGGAATCTAGAATTAAAGAAAACAAGCCCTTTATAAGTTTTAGAGCTTCTGAATAAATAAAGATTTTTATGCCATTTGTTTTTGCTGATTTTTTTACTCTGTTTTCGTGGTCTGTACACCCCAAAGGTACTGGTTTTACGATTATCGGTAGCTTACCGAAACATGGTTTCACATTGGCAGTCTGTTAGGTCAGCAAGATTCAGACGTGGAGCAGATGGGGATGGCTCAGGAAACAATGCACAAACGAGTAAAAAGTCGAGATCATCCTCGTCACTTGAATCAGAACTATCATCCGAAGAAGAGTCGTCATATGGCATGACCGTAAGGAGGCTATCGACTTCACGCCTGTACAATAAACACCGCATTCAGATAACTCTAGAAAACGTGATTACATTTAGCATGATATCTGCTAAAACGAGTGAAAAATATTAGTCCTTCGCATGCATATATACCGTGAAGAAGCCGCCATTTTGGATTTTACCCGGAACTCATCTTTTCCCGCCAAAAGACGTCAACGCCATGCTAAATTCACTTTTGGTGACGACGGCAAACGGGTAACCTCAAACCGCTGGCAGCCGTTTGCCGTTTGCCGTAAACGCGATGCTAAAGGTCCCTAATGTATATTTTTGTACCCATGTAAGCACGAGTATTATATAAATCGCTTTCTCATGAAATAAAATACTTTTATTTCATTACTTTTATTAAATAGTTTACTTTTGGAAAGCAAAGCTTGAGATTGTTTCGAGGCAATACGGCTTTCCAGCGAAACCGAAGGTGTGATTTCGCACATTTCCAGACATGGTCAAAACTGGACTATTCTTTACTTTTTTTTTT